GTGTGTGTGTGTTTATTCATATATATATATATATATATAATATGTATATCTATATATATTTCTACTTTTGCATGTACATATATACGTGCATTTATATACATATGTATATATTTTATATATATATGTGTGTGTATGTGTATATGTTTTCTTATGCTTTGTTTCTTATCTCATGTGCATAGGAGTCTGAAGTTGAGGAATCCAAAATGCCTACTGAAACCGCTGAGACTACAGACGAAACTGTTGCACCGTTTCCCGCCGGTACTGGTGTCGCTGCCATTGCCGCAGCTGCCGATAAGGAGGTGAGTATATATGTACATACTCACGGTTATATATGTACATATTCACACATACATATATATATATATATATATATGTGCAGGTGTCAGAGGCGTGTGTACCTTTTAATCTAAGCTTAAACATGTCTTTCTTGCGACCATGTGTCTAGTATATGCATGCTCGATATTGTACTTCTTGTATGAGCTTTTCCTTGTACGACACGAAAACTAAATATTAAACAAAAATTGCTGTGATTGGATCATTTACGTTCTTTACACTTTGGGGCGCTCGTCTTGTATCCGGTTTTGTCTTTGCATATCCGGATTAATTTGATCTCGATTTGCAATATTTATCATTAATAACCTGTTTTTTATTATACATACGTTGTGACCTGAAAACTAAGTTTTTCTTCTATCCGTTTGCTGTGATAGGCTGAAGATGATGCAGAAAGACGTCAGTCTCATGGAGCACAAAGAGCCATGGCTTTGGCCGGAGGCAAAGCAGCCGAAGGCATCAAGGACGAACAGATTGAAGGGGCTGTTTTCAAGTTAGACTGTATGTGGCGTATATATTTATATACATATACATATATATATATATATATGTATAGTCGAGCTATATGTGTTTCGTATAGTTAAATAGTAGTAGTAAGGATTAATAGTACAAACGTTAGCGTTCAGGTTTGACTATATGTGGTGACGCAAGGGTACAAGTCTGCAAAGGTTAAGTAGTTTACCTACAGTTATTACATAGTTATTACATATATAAATATATATATATTATAGTATATTATTCTCTATTATTATATATATATATATATATTATTATAATATTATATATAAAATTATAATTATAATATTATATATATAATTATAATTATAATTTTTATAT